TTTTTATAACATGAGTGGGTTTTTCACGAGGCTGTTTGCGTGTTGCATCCTAGTGGTGGAGATCTCAAACATGATGAGGCAGGACTTGCCGTTGGACTAGGATTTCATAATTTCATTGGGGCTTCATATTTTTTAGAGGTTTCATAGGGTCATCCAGGACTTTATAACTTTAGCCGTGGGCCATTGCTTTTCTTATTCTTCATGGGGTTCTTGTTTGCCCATGTGCATGCCCCAGGCTGGAAGGCAAATGAATGTGGTTGCGGATCTGACCAGTCACATCAAGGTGAGGAAAAGCCCAGGTCTTTTCATCTTTGGAGCCATTCCGGTGGAACAGTCCAAGATGCCGCAGAAGAAGCAAGAGGAAAAGCAAGAGGAACATGACTCCGAGGATGAGAACTTGACCTTGCAGCAATTGGTTCCTTCTGATCCTGCTCATCCTGCTTCAGACAAGAAGCCAAGGAAAAAGAGATCCAGACATGCCAAATCCCTCATCTTGATGAAACAGAATTTAGCTGAATCTGAGGTGACGTACTCGGTCTTTTTGCGTGCTCACACCAAGGCGGCTCCTTTGGCTGGAGCCGCGCATTGCGACAGTGGCGGATGGGTGGCAGTTCAGAATGGTTTGCTTCAGGGCAACATGCCTGAGTGCGCAATCTGCAAGGATATCTTCGCAAAAGCAGGTTTGGATGCACAAGAGTGCATGAAACAAGTGGAGCTGGCATTAGATAGCAGAGCGGCCTTGCAGGATCACTGGGAGTTCCAGGAGAATCGTGCCATCGGAAACACAAAAGCATCAGAAAAAACTCTTGTCTGGGTTTAAACATGTATATATCCATTGTATAATTTGTATTTTTTGTTGACGGGTAAAATTCCAGGAGATAGTGGAATCACCTGAGAAGCTGAAGCGGAAGTCTGCAAACCTTGCAGACGATCAAGAACAGCAAGCTTGTGACGCTGGTCCATCACAAGGCATGCCACAGATGATCTTCTGTTGTCTGTTCTTTTCGATTCTACAGTTGAGCTGATAGGATTTCATAAATATTGTTAAATACGTTCAAGATTGTTGGGGCTGACAGGATTTCATATAAAATCAGCATGGCAGGATTTCATAGAACAGTTTAACACAATGTGCAGCCCCATGCAAGGTGACAAGAAACAGAAAAGGCATCATCCTTTCAACACAGATGGCCTCACTGGAGAGCAGCTTGTGGAGAATGATGACAACATGGAGTTTCTTGCTAGAGGCTCACACAACAAGAAGATTCCAGTGCAATGCAATGCATGTGTCCGTCCACATGGCAAGCATGGTCCTCGAGCTATCTTTGACTTGATCAACTTGAAGTATGACCACTGGTACTACCAGCATGTGCTCAGTGCCACCCACATCAGATATACCCAAGATCAAAAGGTTTCAGGCGTCAAGAACGAAGAGTCTCAACTTCAGTGTGCAGGCTGGCAGATGAGCAAAGCCATGCTAACTTGTCGTCTTTCCAGGCTTGGGGAAGGCTTGGTGGAATACGCCACAGTCACAAGTACAGAATCAACAGAGCACATGAACCGAACGATGCACTCCTTCAATGTGATTCAAGGGAAAGACGTTGTCATCAAGCACAGGAATTGTGCAGGGCTGGCCTCCACAGTCAGCCAAGGGCATCCCATGTGCCCACTTTGCTTTGACATTGGCCAGAACAGAAACATTGCCCATCAAACTGCAAAGCTTTTTGTGAAGACCTTGGCAGCTCGACTCTTGAGTTGTCGGCTGTTCTCGATTGAAGCAGAGCAGGATCTCATCCAGGAGGCACGGAAAAGCAGTGTCTACAAAGCCGGCTGGCAGGCGGCGCTGGTGAAAGTTTTAAAGATGAAAGTCTCCCAGCTGCAGAAATTTGTCCGGACATCTTGGCTCTCCTTGGGAGATGAGTGGAGAACCCCTGCCTACAAACAAAAGGTGGCATGCCTTGTTGCACCGTGCCTATCCGTGAACCTTGAGAACTATCAGCCTGAAGTGGCACAACGAGCAAGTGGCCTGGCCAAAGCCATCTCTTCTGGACAGCTTCACACAATTGCAGATGTGGAGTTAAAATTAGCGGCAAGTGTTGCCAACGGTGCACTTCGTCATCATCCTTTGGTTCAAGGTCTGTTGGTGGCCGCAGTGGAGCAAAGCCGGAGGTTGGACCGTGGTGCCAACTGCATGAGGAACCTTCAGGTGAGCGAGGCTGAGCGTAACATGATGATCGAGGCAGCAGTTGTCATTTCACAATCAGCTTCGTCCAAGGATTTGCTCAAAACTTTCGGCATTGCGTGTCTGGATGAAAAGGTTCAAGCTTTCGATCCAGGATCCGCATCTCTTCCAGACCCGTGGCTAGCAAACGACAACATCACTGTGTTGGAGAACAACGCACGCATGATCCAGAATGCCATTCCATTGCAGAAGGACTGGGTCACAATATGATGTTTGATTATAATGTCCTGTTTGTGCCTCGGACATTTATTTTTTTATGAAATCCTAGTAGTGGCCATATTTATAGTGATTTGATGGCAGTCTCCAGGTTTGATATTGTTCTGTGTGCCCCGTATCAAGTCACGAGAGGAGCAGCCTGCCCGGCGATTCACACTAGTGATGGAAGAAACATATATCCTCAGATCTTTGGATCCCATGTGCACTCGACATGGCAGAGGATTCGCAGGGACTGCTTTCAGTGCATTTGCCACCATGACAGGTGATCCACTGGTGGGAGATGGTGGATTCTTGGAATTGGGAGAGCACGAGCTTCCAGAGCTGGATCAGCTGAAACATGCCGGAAGAATGCAGGAGTTTCTTCTTGCAGACTCAAGCTTTTACAAGATGAAGCAGATTCCTCGTTTCAGCGTGTGTTGCACTCCATTAAGTGCAGATACAAATGGGGAACAAATGGTGCAACTTCTGGGGCGAATTTTGAAGGGCGTGGGTGAGATTGTGACCACGATTGTGCCCAGTCACAATTTATTCGCAATTGAACATATTTGGATTTATATTTTCCTGTTTGCTTGAGTGTCATAGATTTATCTTTTCTTGGTGCTTTATATGTTCCTTGTACAATTTGTATGTGTGTTTGTGACCAGCGGCGTGAGGTATTTGACAATGCCTCGAGTCACAACATACTCAAAGCCTTCTTTCTTGGACTCACAGATTCCATTCCAAGGAGCATCAGGAAAAACACCGAGTGGTTTTGCGACCTGACTTTTCAGCCTCTTCCGACCTGTTGCATCCCCAACCTGAAGTACAAAGCGCCTATGTCCAAAGGATCTGCCATTTGCGCCCTCAACGGACCCCAGCACTGCCAGAAAAACTATGTGTCTGGACTTCGAAGTTCGTGCAGGACAGTGCATTTGGGAGAGCTTGCAGTCGACGCTGCCTCCGCTATACACATGCCTCCACCAGCTCAGGCAGGTTTTGGGTGAAAGTCAGGTCTGATACTGGACGCCTGTCGGATGCTCTCAGGATTTCATAACTTCAAATTTCATGAATTTCTTTGTTTAAACATCTGGGGAGGGAGCTCTCAGATTTATTAGGATTTCATAACTGGAGGATCTCATAGCTGAAAGTTTTGTGCAACAGAATTTTATAAAATGAAGTCTTTGTCATCGATCACACGCAATTGTCATTGTCAGGCTGGCTACGACCCAATGTCGGACAAATTGAGTTGCATGTTTCTCAATCCGTACCATTTGGTTCTGGACGCAACGGAGAAGGATCCGTCAAAAATGAAGATCCCATGGTCATTGCGTGGCCTGATGGTTGCAAATTTGCTTGGGTCATTGGTTCAGAGTGCTGTCATGTGCCCTGATGTATCGGCCGTGCAGAAACTGGAGAATGTGATGACATTCCACGTGTGCATTGACATCGGGCAGTTGATGGCATGGACAAAGGAGACAGCGTGCAAGGTGCGAAAAGGCACACTCTATTGGCATCCGGAGACGATCCTTCACATGAAGCAATTGTGTGGATTTTTGATGATTCAGCTCACGTCAGTTGACACATCGTCTTGTTGGCTGCCACACAAGTCCACCGAATGCATTATAGAAGAGTGGTTCGGCATGCTGAGGGGGAAGTATGCCTCCAGCCCAATGTCTTGCAGAGACTACCTTCGCAGCAGCTTGCAGAAGCAGAAGTGGTTCCTTGACAAAACTCAGCGAAGCATGAGTAAGCCTGTGGAACGTCCAGAAATTCCACATCAGAATGCAAGAGTGTCAGAGGCAGCTTTCCGTGAGTGTGCTCGAAGAGCTTTGAGCAGCGCTTGCACACTGATGTCGCTCATCAGCAAAAGAAACAAGGCCGACATTGAAGACATGTTCTTGTCTTGGGCTGATGAGAATGCATCGCAAATGGAGAAGCAGGCTTTGAGCTCGGCAGAAGAAGGCTGGCTCAATGCCTAAAGTTGTATGTTGGACATGACACAGCACTGCTAGGAACAGGATTATATAATTAGATACCACTTTTAACAGAACAAACAGGATTTTATAATTAGGTTTGCTCTCGACTCTCGAAGATCTCGAAGCCTTTGTTTTGTAGGTAACCTGAGTGAAGATGACTGTGAAGATGGCGGCAATCACTTCCAAGACTTTGACGGCAATGATGATGGCAATGATGATGAGGACATTGAGCCACCAATAGCCCAGTCTGAATCAACGGATCAATGCTTGGAGATGCTGCGACGCATCCAGGACATGGAGAAGAGGATGCAAGATGAAGACACTGAGGTGAAGCATTCAGATCCGCCACATCCGCCACAGGAAGATGCTGCCCCCGAGAGTAAAGACCTTCAAGAACTTTTTGAGATCCCGGAGGATGCAGTGCAGTCTGATTCTTCCAAAGCCATGCTTGGAAGGCTTGGCGGTTGTCGGACACTTTCGGAATTCTTTGACATTGTCTCTGGAGGTGTGGCTCACCAGGACATAGAACCGTTGTGGGGTCCAATGTGGCAGCTGTTGTGCAATTTGAGAGTGCCTGCTGACAAGCCTTGGTTGAAGAACCATCGTGGGTCCAGGGTTCGATCCGACAATCTGTCATGGCATCAAATTGCCGAACATGAGTGCTCAGTGGCTTGGATGTTGAGCATGCACAAGATTTTATAAACGTCACATTTTGTACGTTTTATCATCTTTATCAAGTTTCAGGATTTTATAAGCATGATAACTTTTTATGTCATTTCACTCTGTGCTAAGGTCATGAGGCGGATAGCAGGAGTTTCGGCTTCCCGCACTTCCAGGGTGGCTGCGTGGATGAATATGAATGCGGCCCTCCCGGCTCC